TACATTGGGATCTCAAAATATTTTGTGGAATTAAATACAAAAAGAATGGAAGAAGAAAGGAAGGAGGCAGGGGAAGGCAAGAAAGTTTTACTATTGTAAAACTATTGAAAACCAGGAAATAATTAAATTCATCATTATTAATTGAAATCTTAAACACAAAACAATTAATTATAATATTTTATTGAAGGAAAAATAATATAGTGGGGCTCAAAAAGCTACACTTGTTATGCTTTATAAAGTCAGAGGTTTACACAGGCTTAATGTATGTACATATTCATGACATTATATCACAACATCAAAGGCACCTTCTACTGCCACAGTATTAGGTAATGAATAAAAAATATGAAATTAATCTTTTAAAAAATCTAAAATGATACAATCTATTTTAGGATTATGTACATATTTGAAACATTTAGATATTTTTAAACACGTTCTATATGCATCACAATTATCTCTAATTCTCAAAATATTATGGTACCAAAATTTTGTTTGTCAAATAACAAAGCACAAGATACTGTAATCTATAACCAAGCACCAGTTAAAATCAGTGTTAAATGCTCCATCAATTAGTTTGACTTTTAACACATGCAAAGTGAAGTGGGTGATTAATAATTTAGATAACCATTGCAAAACTTTTAGGGTCTCCATTTTTTTTTTGTCTTTAATTAGTTGATTTCTTTTGAGAAAATGGGGAGAACTGGATGACTTTGATCAATGTTTTCCTAGTGGTTTTATGGAATCCTAGGGCTCTTAGAAGAAACTTCCAAGGCACTGGAGAAGGTTTAGTCCATGTTATGCATATTATATATCAGAGCTTTGTATAGGATTGAGATCATACAAAGGGTTTATTGCTTTAAAATAAATTTGAAAATACTAATATGGGAAACTGCTTTAAAGTATATTTCATTTGGTTATGCTAACACAGTTTAAGAAATACCTTTGTCGAAACAGATTATCACACTTAGTCAACTGCACAACTCAAGTGAAAGGTTATCTAAAAATGTTGCCTTCATTAGTTACAGGGGATATAATCCTAAGTTTTTATGTATATTTTTAAGTCCAGAAGGAATTTGAATGGAACAATAAAATGTCATCACTAGCTCAACAGTATGACCAAAGAGCATTATCAAATTATAGATCAAGAAGTAAAAGTAGAGAATCTTTTGATACATGAAATTGTTTTAATATATAAAAATAAATGATCACTTCTGAAAGTGAAACACAGAGTTCTGTTCACTAGTTTTACCTATTATCATATTTATGATGTAAACAAAATTAAAAATATATTTTATTAATACCTAGTTCAAAAAAAGAACACTGTAATAAGCACCTCAGGACTAGAATGCCATAAAAAATTATTATTTAGGAAAATGGATGTCAAGATATATGTATTACTCTCCTAGAAAATTATGTAAATAGAATCAAGCATCTTTAATGCCATCAGAGTTACAGAGTATCCAAGAATTTAATATGCAACTTAAATTTTTATTGAACTGAAGAAATGGTTTTATTGGCAGGCCAAGTTGCCATCAAGAATTTGTTCTTATAACCACCAGAGGGCGCCAGTGCCTGAAGCACGCTTGGTGTAGTTGTAATCTAACCTTTAGTTGATAACTTGAATTTTACATTCCAAGGTTAAAAATGCTTTTTAAAAAGATGGATAACTTCTAAGAAATATATTTAGATTCTGTAACACCCAAATAATGTTGGATTATTATATAAAAACAGAGCTCACTGGCTTATTTAAGATTCATTTAACAGGACGTTATTAATATTTCTAAATCAGGAATTGAAAGGACAACATTTGTAACTATGAATAAAAAGAGACTTCTTAACCTACTAACACTAACAATTCATTTAGCACCACATATATAGCACCAGAATAGATACTGATAGTTCACACTTGTTAAAAACTTTAATTGCAAAGAAACTTAAAAATTAAAGCAAGTATATGGTGGTTGTAATGACTTTTCAGCACCATTAACCAGTAAACTGTGTAACTTTCTAAGTTGTTGACTGACCTCTCATAAGTCAAAGTTAGAAGATGAAATAATTTTTAAAAATAATTTTGCATGTGTTTAAATGTTTCCCTCACACATATAACAATACAAAAATATGCAAATATAAAACAAAGATAATATTAGACATTGATAGAAATCTAATTTTACTCTCCCTAAACACTTCCGTAGGAAACAGCTTCCTTCCATCCAAGATTGGTGTCCTATGCCCCTGCAGAACTTTGGGAATGTTGTTATACAAGAGGAGAAAACAGACCCCAGTTAAGCATGACTGTTCCTTCCTGAACACACTCAGATGATCTGTTTAACTTATGTATTCACTTAATAAGCAGGATATGAACACAGAACACTTGAACTGGCCTAAATATGTTTTTGATTGCTTATGTAGATGTTATAAGTTGATCTAACACAAGCATATATTAATGAGAAAAATATATATTGCTTCAATTCAAATATTCTGAGTAAATTATACTGATTGAATTTTCCCTACTGTTTGGTCAGCTCTGTGCTAAAACTTCATGGAACTTTCAAATGAGTATTTCCACGAAAGTTTCAAATGAACTGCCAAGTGAACTTGGTAGGGAAGTCCTAACAGGCCACGGAAGTGATGCTTCTTAGACTACTGGACAAGAAAAAAAAACAACAAAACATGATAACAATGAAAATTGTTTCTGCCACATTTTAAAAGCAAACTTACCTACCATAACCAGGAACATTAAGAGTGTGCCTACACAACTCAAATACAATTCTGTAAAGGAATCCATCAGTTTAACAGCTCAACTTGTAATTTTTCCAGTCTTTTGATGACATGGAAGCCAAAAAAACTGATGCTATGACAGATTTTTTTTTAAATTTTCTACTGAATAAAGGATGTAATGAAAAATCCATACCAAAAATAAAAATCAATGCTGTAGAATATGTATGCCAATCACCATTTCAAATGAAACCTATTGAAATGAGAGCCTCAATACTATTTAAAGCTGCTCTTATGAAATAGCTTATGCCCAGACCCTTTTTCCCTCTGGGAGTTACAGTGAGAAATAGCTATCCTAGCACCATTGTTGCATGCTGTGAAAAGTATGACACTCTGGGTTGATTCAAGCAAATGTTCATTTGCTTTAGCCTAGAAAATAAAACATTTCACATGGCCACTTTATATTACTAACTTTAAGAAGCACAGATAGAATAACAAATATACCCGTTACATTTTCAGCTGAGTTGTTAAGTTATAAATAAACTTATATTTGGAAAGGACTGTTGTGTACAAGTTTATGAGTATGTGGTTTCTAGTCTTAATCTGTTATATTTGGTGCTTTATCTGGATTGTTGATGCACTCAAAGCTTTGTATCTAAGACATTTTTGTCTTAATGAAACATAAGGTGAGGTTCTTCTAATTCTTGCAATACTAGACTGTTGTGTTAATTTCAAAAACCCATTCATATAAAAACTTATTACACTATAGCCATTATATAGGAAGCTGGTATAAGCACACAAAGATAAGACAGAATTTCTGCCAAAGAGGAGCTCATGAAAGACTTAATTTTATCGCAGATGAAAGCTTCACAACATTAATGATAATTTTAATATTCATGATTTTCTATTAATATGGTAATTTAACCTTCAAATGAACTTCTGTGAATCATGTGGCAGATATCATCTTTCTTTTTGAGACCTGAGAAATCAAGCCACGCAGGTAAACCAGCAATAGGATCGAACTGATCATAGCCTTTTTTTGGTTTAATAGTTATTTTACTACTTCCATAGAACTAGTTTAGGAAACTCAAGAAATGCTATCTAGATAAAGCAAACAAATATCCCACTAAAGAGCTTTCTCTCCAATTGCCTGAATATATTAGCTAAAAGTTGATTTGAGACCTGACTCTTCCTGTTGTTTCTGTTCTTCACATTAGTCTCCCAAAATACTTATTTTTAATAAAATCTATATATGTTACCACAAAAGCAAAGTCGTTTGATAGGAAAACATTTGGTCAGATTCAGTGTGTGAAAGAAATCTGGCCAATTATTTGTCATCATGAAAACCTGAACTCCAGATGCTGGATAATCCCCCATTGGATTTAATTAACTATCTGTCATCTTTCAATGAATCTACACTAAGCAACTGCAAATGTGTATGGAATTTTAAACAAGTAGCTTCCTTCTGTTATTTGTACTCTGGAACTAACTGTGTTTACTGATTCTGTAATTCTACTGCAGCATTATATAACTTGAAACACACATACACGCACACGCACATGCACATGCATGCACATGTAAAATGTAATGTGTTAAGTGTCTTGATCCATGTGTTGAATTTCTCCTCTCTGAAAGGGATTTGGAAATAAGCATTTCCAAAATCACATGAGTGAAATTTTCACAGTGACTTTGACTTGCTTTCCACCATGCTTTTGGGGCTTCCCAGGTGGTTCAATGGTAAAGAATCCACCTGCCAATGCAGGAGACACAGGAGATGCAAGTTCAGTCCCCAAGTCAGGAAGATCCCCTGAAGAAGGAAATGGCAGCCCACTCCAGTATTCTTGCCTGGAGAATCCTATGGACAGAGGCCAGTGGGCTACAGTCCATAGGGTTGCAAAGAGTCAGACACTACTGAAGCGACTGAGCATGCACACATGCAAACTTAATGGAGAACTGAAAAATATTCTTCTACTTAGATATGGTAATAAAATTTGGTAATTAGTGCTTAGAAAATCATCTGAAGAGGCCCCTTTCACAAAATCATAGCTGTTTGTGGTGTGTACATGAGATTTTCCACATGATGCTCCAGGACCACCATGCTGAATAGACTGATTCTCATCAAATAAAGACAAGCAGAACGATGGAGAGCACTGTTGGAACCTGCACTGTTTCTTTCTGGTATCCCTCACCTCCTGCTCACAGGCTTCAAGGTATATTAAACCTTCAGGATATGCCTTTCTGAGGCTCTCCGTGTGTGTTTGTGTGTGTGTGTGTGTGCATGCGTGTGTGTGTGTGTGGTAATGCTATTTCCGTGGGTTTGCATGCCTGTCTCCCGAATCTTACTTCTCTTGGACCTTGTCAGTTCACTTAGGTCTTGCTTTCCACCTCCCAAAACAACTATTTACACTCACAGTTGTTCATTCTTCCCTGCCTCATTTAGTTCCAAGCACTATAGCTACATTTTATGCTAACCAGGAGACTTACATATTACATGGCGTGGCCTATCACCTATTCCACCTACATGTGAACATCGTTGGGTTCCCTTCCTCAAATTTACATGAAAAATCAATTTGTTAACAAATTTTTACAGCAAGATATTGAGTTGGCCAAAAAGTTCACTTGTTTCCCCGTAATGTCACAGAAAAACCCGAACAAACTTTTTGGACAACCCAATAATTAGGCTGCATTATTTCCTGAATATTTTTGTGAGCTTCTTGAAGACAGGAATTTTGTCTTATTATCCTTGCATGATCAGAACATAACTAGCAGAGTTCCTTGCCCATCATAACCACTCCACACATGATTACTGGTTCAATAAAAGAGGTTAAGCAAAATAAATATGTTCAACCTTACAAAAATTGAGAGTATCTTTTGGTGGGCCCAAATAAAACAAAATATTTCCAGAATGAAATCTGTGGTTCTTAATTAAATTATTATATCTAGATATCACGGAGTTTTATTAGTAGTTTGCAAATGATCAGTTTTGGGCTATTAAAGAAATGGGTGCAGGAGATGTCCTACCACCTAACATATTGTTTAGGATTTTAAAAAAATTCCTCCAAGATAACTACAAAATCATATTATCTATGTATTACATCATCTATGTATGTGTATTTATAGGCCAAATATATGTTCTATTTGTTAGAAATGTAACATAATTTCTTTGGAAAACAAGCTTTGGAATTGAATGCATCAACTATGTCAATACTACATACACAGTATTTTAATTTAGACTTAGAGGTTAGAAAGTAGACATGGATATTTGATTACCTCAGAGGATTAAACAAACATACAAGATAAACACTAATCTTTACAATGAATAATAAAAGGAAAACAAGATTATGATAAAATATGTATAATATGTGCAAAACTCAATATATATATATGCCTATGATTCCCAGAAACCATTATATTTCCTGGAGGAAAAGATAAGCTTATTTAAACCAATACAGGTAGTTTGACGTTACACCTGGAAAGCAGAGATTGTCAGTACAAGACCCTCCGTAACTTGGAGGGCAAGCTGAACATGGTACTCCGACTTTATATGGTGCTTCTCCGATCCAGTTGCCCCTAGGAAAAAAAAGAAGACAGCGTAAGTGTTACTTACTCATTTTTTAAAGTTTGATTGTCCGTAAGCACATGATCACACATTGATGTGTGATGACATTTTCAGAAGTGTATCATTTTTAGAAAAGCACTGAAAGTTACATCCATTTCTTATTTCTATAGCAATTTATTCTATATATCTTACATTTAAAATACTTTCTTTCTGAGTAAGTTAATATCATGTTAATTTACAATAATTTACAAAGCATGGTGACATTATTTGTCAACCCACATCTGACTTGATGCTCTATCCATCACCACAGCTGCCTCTTTCCCTGCAGCCTTCCAGAACACATACACTGTGTCCTCTTAAATGTACTTTTTAAAAAGTCATGCTAATACTATTATAAAGATAGTAAAATATATACAAATACATACATATATACAAAGTGTGTATGTGCTCAGTCGCTTAGTTGTGTCCAGTTCTTTAGGACCCCATGGACTGTAACCCACTAGGCTCCCCAGTCCATGAGATTTTCCAGGCAAGAAAACTGGAATAGGTTGTCACTTCCTTCTCCAGGGGACCATCCCGATCCAGGGATCAAACCCTCCTCTCACGTCTCTTGCATTGGCAGGCGGGTTCTTTACCACTAGTGCCACCTGGGAAGCCCATATACAGTATATATACAATTCGGGGAGGCTTAGAAATGGTGACATGAGCAAGAAGTTGTCATAAGCACAAAAAATAGGTTTTAAGTGTTCAAAGGATTTCTTTCTAAAGTTGAATAGTTTAGATTCTCAATATTAATAAAATGAGACACAGAAAACTCAGTAAGAGAATAATGGCTTACAGAAGCAACCATTAAAGATGATTCCAAAACATTTTCCCATATGTAAACTCACAGTTATAATTTTTAGCAATATTGTTTTAATTTTTTAAAATAATGTTAAACACATTTAACTGAATGTTGTCAATATTTTCCTTCATCTTGATGGCCATAATGATACACCAAATTCAGCATTTAGGATAAAAACAGTCACAACGTCTTACTGTTACTAAGCTCTTTTAGCTATGACAGAGGAAGCAATGAATTTATTTTCCACAGCATGGTGACTAGTAACTACAGTGCTAACAAATAACCACAGAGCCAGAAGTGTGAAGGAAACTGAATGGTCAGGAGAAAATGTGGTGTGTTGATAGTAAAGAGTCAGGGTTGAAGATAAAACAACAGTGGAAAAGCTAAAATACTGAGCCACTGGGGAAGCCCCGTATTCAATAGTAAATCAGTCAATGGATAAACATATTATTCGTCCTTTTAATTTTTATCCTTTCAGGCTAATTCATTTTCATTCTCTCATTTCTCTGTTTCCCTCCACCACCTCCCCCCGCCCCTCCACCACCCAACCCTGTGTTTCATTTTTCCCTGAAAAACAGGGAGGCTTGAGATAACTTCATGCTGGTATTCAACAATCAGTCAGAATTTTTAAACTTTCTCCACTGCCTGTTTCAAAAAATGGTTCTCTGTTACAGCAAATACACCATACTAACACAATATCTTAATCTCTTAGACATAAAACAATCAGACATCTCATCAATAATATTGCAAAAATCCCATCATTGGCCAAAAACAGAACAGCCAAATGAATGTAATAAAAGCCTCTTTCACTATTTGAGTACTGCCTGGCCTATTTATGTCAGAAAGAAGAGTTAAGAGTCTTAATAGGAAAATATAAGGTGCATAACTGAAAATATCAAACAAATGCACAGTTTTAATGCTTTTCATGATGCAGTCACATTTTACTTTCCAAATATTACTATTCTAATAACTGTGGAGAGGGGACCATTGGGAAAATCGCTATTTTTCTAACTTTGCAAAAACACTGCCCCTGGCATACGACCATATGAATGAGTAATGCAGTTATTTGTGAAACGTTTTCTCATTCCCTCCCCATACTGGCAAAGCTGGAGAAAAATCTTTGTTTGGGACTTACTTTGGAAGACACCAGGCGTGTCATAAATCCTTTGCACATTTTAGTATTTACTCCAAAAGGGAAAAGACTCATGTATAAATACTGGAACACTTTATCCAAAGAGTCATTGTTATCAAAAAGGCATTTTATCAAATGTTAACAAATGTTTGTTTATCCTCATAATATAAAGAATGCTCACAAATATAAAATACAACTATATTTTATAATATTTGATCAATTTTCACAATATGAAATATATCATTTTATGTGTGCCACAGGATGAAATTACTGAATTTTTTTGTACTGAAGTTTAAATCATGGCACAGCTTTCATTAAAAAGATGTAATTGCATTTAAATTTTCCCTTCTGATTCTGAATGCCTCCTTAACCACCTATGGAAAAAAAATAAATTGTGATTTTAATTCTACCCTTAAAAGAAAGAAGAAGGGCTTGTTTTCTTTTCCTAGTGAAAAAGTTAAGCCAACATTCTAGGAATGATTGATGAGAATACTGTGGTGTTGATAAATTCCCTAGAAGATCCTTGCCTGAGACTTTTATATAAGCTATCAAAAGCCTGGAAGTACATGTTTATTTTATAATTACCAGGTCTAAAGAAAGACGAGGAGGAGAATTTAGTGAATCTCCAAATCACAAATTGTCTTGCCCAAAATTTTAATCTAGAATCCTTGTGAAAAGAAATCTTTCAGCTTTTAACTTTTCAGATACATGAGAAGACAGAAGATTTGAGGATCTGAGCTTTTTAAGTCTTACTCATATTATTTACCTGTCAAAAGTATCTATCAGACTGAAGATATTTAGCATCATTAAAGATTCCAGGAAGTAGAAGCCAACCATATACTCACTTGGGGGCATAGTTGCATACCAAATAAACTGCACGGCGCCATACAGCTCCCCAGACATTCATGTTTTGACAAGTATGAATTGCACATCCTATTCGATTGGAGGTGGCCCAAACCATCTGAGAAAAGAAACCGATATACCGTTATTAGAATCAGGAGTTAAGAAAAGGCAGGTTCACCAAATAGAAAGAGCATTTTTAAAAAAAGAATGAATCAGAACTGAACAAGACAAAATAACCTGTGTATAATGTGTGCACATGGGGCCGAAACATCTCATAGGACATCGGGGATTGCAATCCTGGGGATATGGAAAGGCATAGTCTTTCACTTCATCATACCATGGCTTGACCAACTGGAGAATAGAGCGGTATCTAAATATCAAGAAACACAATGAGAACTCACAGCACAGCAGTGGCAATGTATGGTGGACTCACATTAAATTACAAGTTAATTGTCCTTTTGCAGTCTATTGATGGCAAATCAAGAGCATATCCACTCCCTCATAATTACCATCACCACCCAGCAGAATCCTCTATCCCTCCCAGTAGAGCCAAGCATGAAAACGTTCAGGCCTAGAGCAACTGATCCTGTATTTGTTAGTATGAGTCTGGTTGTTTCAAAAAGAGAAATGCAAATCTTTCAGAAAGTATCATCTTCACCTTGTTTTACCAATGTCAGAAATGTCTTCCATTGGAATCTTTTACGTAATTAAAAATTAGATATTAAAAAAAACCTGTGATACTAGACTCAGAGTGTTTTTTCCCCTTAAAGTTGTATCATTTTAATTTAATGAGAATACACCTGATTTTTCTCCCCTATATGGAAGGGAATGAGTCTTTGAATGTTGGATGATGACCTCTCACAGTGTAGAAAAATTATCCTGTTACTGGAAGCAGCTTCATCCTGTTACTGGAAGCAGCTTCATTCACAGTTGTATATACTTGCATATACATATATGTGCATATGTATATATACATAATATGTAAATACATTGAATTTGTATAACACATATATAGGAATATGCAAACATGGGAAAGCTGCATACACAATAATGGCTTCTGCCACTATCAAGGGATTTTTCTGAGCTAGAAGAGATAGGATAAGGATACAACCTGATTCTTTCAAAGATTCTGTGACATTAGTGTAGAATAGATTAAGGGATGGTGTTCCAAGGGTGAAAGAGAAAACTGGGTTTTTTTTGGCTCTTTTAAAAATTTAAATAATTTTTGAAGACATCTAAAACAGTCATAGGCCAAGCATCAGTGGCTGACATATAGTGAGTTCTCAATAAATACTTGTAGATATTACTTGAAATTGGTGCTACTAATGCTTGGAGTCCACAGGCAATAAAGTTATCCGGATAAACGGTATCAGTGAAACTATTTCTTACCTTCCAGTTCGTACAGATAGATTTTGACCCAAAAATCTCAATAAGTAAGAAGGTCCATGGTCCCAAATGCAGGTAGCTGCCCAAGCCTCTGCAGACTTTGCAAGATTTTCATCCCAAACCTGTATAAGGGAAAAAAAACCCTTCAGCTTACTGGGTTTGCTAGTAACAAGCAAAAAGAGGCAAGAAAGGATGCTACCATTTTCTAAAGTTCTTTCTCTTCTACTTCCTGAGTAAAAGAAAGCAAGATTAGGTCATCGTTATTTAAAGTTCTACAATACAGTATGGTTATTCCTCAAAATCTTTATTGTTTTAACAGTGTCATCTAGACCCAAAGTCCAGACATCAATTTTAGTAAAGGATAGGTTAACCAAAATAGTGTATCTAGATGTAACTTGGAGATACCTACTGACAACTAAAGTTTGAGTCTACCAGAGTCAAAGGATTTCCTGAAGTTTATTCAGAGCTACTAATATATCTCCAAAATTAATATGATCAAATTTATTCAAATAATGAACCAAAACTGACACTGTGTAATATTATAACTTTTATTGAGATATAACTGATATGTAACAATTATTAGTTTCAAGTGTACAACTTAATGATCTCTATATATGCATATATTGTGAAATTATCATCACAAGAAGTCTAATTAACATTCATCACCATACACAGTTCAAATTTTTATTCTTGTGAAGAGAGCTTTTAAATTCTATTTTTTAGCAACATTCAAATATATAATACAATACTATAACTATAGTCACCACACTGTATATTACATCCCCAGGAATTATTTTATAACTGAAAGTTTGTACCTTCCACCCACACCCAACCTCATCTCTCGCAACCACCTATCTGTTCTCTAGATCTATGAATTCAGTGTTGTTTTTGTTGTTGCTGTTTTTAGATTTCATATATATATGACATCATATGTTGTCTTTTTCTGATTTGTTTCACTTAGCATAATGCCTTTAAGTTCCATCGATGCTGTCACAACGGCAAGATTTCCTTGTTTCTTATAGCTGAATAATATTCCATTTATCCACTTATCCGTTGATGATAATTTAGGCTACTTCCATATCTTGGCTATTGTAAACAGTGCCACTGTGAACACTGAGGTGACTGTATCTTTTGGGGTTAGTATTTTAGTTTCCTTCAGATGAATACCTAGAAGAAGAATTACTATATCATACAGTAGTTCTATTTTTATTTTTGGGGAGACATTCTATACTGTTTTCTACAGTGTTGGCACCAATTTCCATTTCCATCTACAGTGCACAAGATTCCCTTTCTCCATATCCTCTCCAACATTATTTATTTCTTGAGTCTTTGACAATAGCCATCCTAACAGATATAAGATGACATCTCATTATAGTTTGGATTTGCATTTATGCCAACTTTTAAAGGTCAGACTACATCTAAGTATAATATGATATAATTTGATATGTTTTGTCATTTGAATATTTTATAGTAATAATATTAGAATTGCCATGAACTAGAGACATAGATGTATTTAATATAACAATGTATTTAACTGAAAGGAAATTAATTTAGTGACTTTGAAATAAAACAGGAAAAATGATAACTGATGAACCCTTCAAGAGACACTTTCATCCTAGGAAACCATGGCACCCACCCTCAAAAAAGATTTGTTAGTTCAAAAATTGTCTTAAATTAGAAAAATGAAATTATGTTACATAAATCTATCTAAAATTACACTAAAATATATTCACTCACAAAGTTACATAAATCAGAACTATCAAGAAAGGATCTAGAGTAATTCTATGGTGACAGTGGCCAAATCTCCACTGTCTATGTAGAAAGAAAGATCATTCAGAGAGAACTTTCTTTTAATTATCTAGAATATAATCTGCCCATTTGAGGATTAAGTTAAATATGGCAAGATATCTCATAATACCCTTTTAATACTTTGGCCACCTGATGGGAAGAGCCAACTTATTGGAAAAGATGCTGATGCTGGGAAAGATTGCAGGCAGGAGGAGAGGGAGGCAACAAAGGATAACATGATTAGATGGCATCATCGACTCAATGGACATGAGTTTGAGCAAACTCTGAGAGATAGAGGAGGACAGGGAATCTTAGTGTGCTGCCATTCATTGGGTGGCAAAGAGTCAGACATGACTTAGTGACTGAAAAACAACTTTTTAATAGATGAGTAAGCAATGTTACAGAGTATCTGATGAACTATGGATGGAGGTTCATGACATTGTACAGGAGACGGGGATCAAGACCATCCCCAAGAAAAAGAAGTGCAAAAAGGCAAAATGTCTGAGGAGGGCTTAGAAATAGCTGTGAAAAGAAGAGAAGCAAAAAACAAAGGAGAAAAGGAAAGATACACCTATTTGAATACAGAGTTCCAAAGAACAGCAAGGAGAGATAAGAAAATCTCCCTCAGTAATCAGTGCAAAGAAATAGAGGAAAACAACAGAATGGGAAAGACCAGAAATCACTTCAAGAAAATTAGAGATACCAAGGCAATATTTTATGCAACATTGGGCTCAATAAAGGACAGAAATGGTATGAACCTAACAGAAGCAAAAGATACTAAGAAGAGGTGGCAAGAATACACAGAAGAACTGTACAAAAAAGATCTTTATGACCCAGATAATCACAATGGTGTGATCACTCACCTGGAGTCAGATATCCTGGAATATGAAGTCAAGTGGGCTTTAGGAAGCATCACTATGAACAAAGCTAGTGGAGGTGATGGAACTCCAGTTGAGCTCTTTGAAATCTTAAAAGATGATGCTGTGAAAGTGCTACACTCAATATGCCAGCAAATTTGGAGAACTCAGCAGTGGCCACAGGACTGGAAAAGTCAGTTTTCATTCCAACCCAAAGAAAGGCAATGCCAAAGAATGCTCAAACTACCACACAATTGCACTCATCTCACACANAGGTCTGTCAAGTCAAGGCTATGGTTTTTCCAGTGTTCATGTATGGATGTGAGAATTGGAGTATAAAGAAAGCTGAGGGCAGAAGAATTGGTGCTTTTGAACTGTGGTGTTGAAGAAGAGTCTTGAGAGTCCCTTGGACTGCAAGGAGATCCAACCAGTCCATCCTAAAGGAGATCAGTCCTGAGTGTTCATTGGACAGACTGATGTTGAAGCTGAAACTCCAGTACTTTGGCCACCTGATGCAAAGAACTAACTAATTTGAAAAGACCCTTTTGCTGGGAAAGATTGGAGGCAGGAAGAGATGGGGATGACAGAGGATGAGATGGTTAGATGGCATCACCGACTCAATGGACATGAGTTTGGGTAGACTCCGGGAGCTGGTGATGAATGGGGAGCCCTCGCATGCTGTAGTCCATCGGGTCACAAAGAGCCAGATGCGACTGAGCGACTGAACTGAACTGAATCAATGTTAAGGGCTCCCTAGGTGGTTTGGTGCTAAAGAATATGTCTGCCAATGCTGGAGATGCAGGTTCAATCCCTGGGTCAGGAAGATGCCCTGGAAAAGTAAATGCCAACCCAATCCCGCATTCTTGCCTGGGAAATCCTAAGGACAGAGGAGCCTGACAGGCTATAGTCCATGGGGTTGCAAAAGAATTGAACACAACTTAGTGACTAAACACATACATACAATCAGTGTTAAATATGGTATATTAAATGGAACACATTCATTCTATAATATTTTAATAAAAAGTTAGTGTCTGTTTCTTTATGTACTTGGTTTTTCTTTGAATTGATATAACAGTCTTTTACAATTACAAAAAACATTTTGTATTATGTTTTTCACAGTTATTTAGCCCTGTAAAATATTATAAGGACCCTGATGCTGGGAAAGATTGAAGGCAGGAGAAGGGGACAACAGAGGATGAGATGGTTGGATGGCATCACCGACGCAATGGACATGAGTTTGAGTAGGCTTCAGGAATTGGTGATGGACAAGGAAGCCTGGTGTGCTGCAGTCCGTGGGGTCGCAAAGAGTTGGACATGACTGAGCAACTGAACTGAATTGAACTGAACTGATAAATTATTACTTCAAACTTCTTTGTTTTATCTGCAAAAATCTGCACAAAAATATCAATAATATAAAATAAATTTATATTGGATATCATAGTATTCTAGGACTGAAATTAACTTTTAACAGTATTTTGTTTCTCTAATAAAGGATTTGAGTATTTATTCCTCTGACATTTTTAATGAAATATGAATTTATATAGTATGGATTACAGTTCACCAAAACAGCACACATGCAAAACAGCACAATTACCTCATAAATGAATTTTAAATGGCATAGCATCAACCAATTATGTCCCTTGAACTAATTATAATCACTTTGGGGGAAAAAGAAACACATCTAAGTATTATTTACACATTGAAGTATAGTGCACTCAGAATAATAACTGCCAAAAACACAATTTTTCTGTTTTTATACAGTCATTTGAGAAATAATCTTTCTTACAGTCTTTCTTTTTAAAGATTTTTTTTTTCATGTGGACAATTTTTTTTAGTCTTTATTGAATTTATTGTAATATTGCTTCCATTTTATGTTGGAATTTTTTTGGCCTTGAGTTATGTGGAAGCTTAATTCCCTGAGCAGAGATTGAACCCATGCCCACTATAGTGTGAAAGGTGAAGTCTTAACCACTGGACTGCCAGGGAAGTCCCTTTCTTATAGTCTTGTTCTGCATAGCACAAATAATACTGAAAAAGAAAATATCCTGCATTCTAACTTTAAATCTACTGTTACGACCATCTGCAACTGAGGACATATCAGTTATTCCGTCTCCCAGTTAACTCATCTATAAATAAGCAGATTAAATGAAGCCATCTCTACAGTCTCTTTCTTCTTCAGCATCTTATGATTTAAATACCTGAGTAGCCCCAGCATCAGGACCAAGAATATCTATTATATTGGCCTACGAATTGTTCAGTTCTAGCCTTTTCCATACCACAGAGAGAATAAAGCTAGATTCTTCACAAAATAATTTAAAATATTTAAGGTAGTGAATAAGCAAATTTAATTTAGCATATAATAATTCTATGTGCTAACTCACATACTTAAAATGTATTGTGTATATCAAAGAGATAAACCAGAGTTCATGCCTCAAAAATATCTTACAGAACCACCATTTTAAAATTATTATAAAGGATTTTAATAGGAAGACCGTGTATTTGGCATTATTGATGCCTACATTTTTACATGTTTCTATGTACAGATATCATAATTAAAATTTTTGAGATTATAGTTGTGAGGGAAGAGGGATAACCATGCTTTTTCATGTTTGCTTTTAGGGAACTGATGGGAGGGACTTCTATCTGACCCCAAAGAAAGTTGCTGGAGAGCCTCACAGACTGGCCAGGTCCCACGCGTAAAATGAGGTCACTTTGCCTTCCCATGGGAGATCAATCATCGTTCTGAGGCCCACTGCAGAGATGCCCACCTCTCACACTCATCCTGTAGAGAAATGAAGATCCAGGTCTTCAACTTAGGAACTACATATCTATTGTATTTTGTTGTCTCTTTGTCCATTGGTTACAACTCCCAGGAGAATACGGGTAAGCAATGTATCCCTTCAATCTACACTGGCACTTAAATTTATTAATATGATGAGAGGTCTTTGAGTTTTGAAAACAGCAAATCAAGATAGCCTCTTTCCTATCCAGAAGCTATAAACTGCGATTAATGTTGTCCGTTTAATCATGTGAAAGAATTCTAACAACTTATACAAGTTTCAGGAATGAAGTTATAATCACCTAAGCATTTGAGTAATATGTACATTTCTGGATGCTAAATGGGTAATCAATCTGCTGAATTTCATTAAGTATCTGTGATATTTATTTGAAATAATTTTAGTATCATACCCTACAAATGTTGCAAAAGAAAAAAAATTCACAAGTGTGTACTTTTTTAACATTCTATGAAATAACTAGCAAATATGCAACATGTGATTATCAGGTGTTAAACTAAACACCTGATATTTATTTAGCTTTTATGGAGCCATCCTCAAATTCTGTATTTCTAGGTCTTGTCCCTCTGAAAGTGAATGTGTCAGTCTCTTGTCATTGTCTGACTCTTTGTGACCCGTGGACTGTAGCCCACCAGGCTCCTCTGTCCGTGGAATTCTCCAGGCAAGAATACTGAAGTGGGTTGCCATGCCCTCCTCTGGGGGATCTTCCTGACCCAGGGATTAAACTTGGGTCTCCCACATTGCAGGCATTTTCTTTACCATCTGTGCCACCAGGGGAGCCCTTTGTCCCTCTTAATGGATAAAATAATGTCATGGATAACTGAGTTGCCAACACTTAAAATCTTATCTTGCATTCTAAAAATGAGGCAAAAATTGAGAAAATTATGCATGGAGACACAAAAACATTTACAGGAGCTAGTAGAAGTTAGATATTATGATTAAATAGTTCACAAAGTAAAGATGGCTTAAAACGGTGTCAGAGCATGCATAAGCCTATATATACAGGCACTACTGCCCTGCATGGTTTTCTTCCACTCTTTGTGTTACAAGCCATTTAGTTGGTCAGCTTGTAAATTGATTGATATAACTTTGAACTAAAATATTTACCATAAGCTACTGTGCTTATAAGTAAATTTAGCACCTTGTCTGTGGAAACCACATAGTCTGATTAAGCCATGAGAGACATCCAGAATTCAAATTGATGTTATTTAATTGCTAAAAGAGTGTGGCTCCAAGAGATAGGCGGGACATGAAAAAAAATGCAGATCCTCATTAGTCCAGGGGTCTTCAGAGCTTGGGTCAAAGAAATACAAAATTGAGTCAAAGAATGTCTCAGCATGAGACACTGACTTTCATAAATAGAAGAATTAGAGAATGATGTGATCCAGCCCAAAGATGGGGTTGTTTTATAAGCCATTTCCTAAAGTTTTGGTACTCATGACACAGTGGCCACCAGGACATCCAAAGCTCCCTCCTCAAACCCCAGTCACTATTGCTGGACAATAAGAAATGTAGACCAACTGAAAGAAAACCCTAAAAACTACTTCAGAATGTACATCCGACATTGTTGGAGATGACATACTGGTTTTTTTTTTTTCAAGTGGGTAACATACTTTAATTCCAAGCATAAGAATTAAATGTAGAAGCATTTGAAAGAATTAAATATAAGTTGCTAAAAAGAATAAATATTTCTTGGTAAGGAACCTATACATATTTGATATTATTTATAGTGGTTAAAAGAATGTGGCAATAGGTTATTAAAGCAACTAGTTAGCCTTGTAATTGCAATATAAAATGTGTTTATAAATAATTATTTATATTTTTGGTTTTAAGTTAAAAGTTGTAAGAATATCTTGATATAATTTTTAAACAGTATTTCAAAATTTAGAACTTAAAAGTCACTGAATGTCCTAGCCTCTTAAGACTTTTAAACATATGGAAATGATTTTCAATAAACCAAGTGAAATACTAAAGGTCAAATATGTTAAATCTGTAAATGTAGCTTAAAATTTAAGTTAATCAGATTTGTAAATAGTAACAAACACTAAACAAGTGTGATTGCCAAAACTTGCTAGATTTATGCATAGAACAAAAATATATATAAGTGAAGCTAAAGTAGAAAACCATAAATAATTACATTTTAAAATGACCTCTTAAAAAATCTGTTCTGCACATGGAAACCATCTTCAAAGACATAAAACACTAAAAATAAAAATATCACACTGAATTTTTAAAAGACATATTTCTAAATAGGTTATTGTCAAGGATACTATGATAGCAACAACACTGGAAACAATATGGCATGTCCTACAGATACTTGTTTTCTTGGACTTTTAAGCAGTCATTTCTCATATACTTAGATAAAACATAAAGGCAGTTTAGATAGACAAGCTTTTGGTGTTTAAAAATAATTCAGCTGAGGTTCTTTGTTCTTTTCCTGGCTTAGACTGGGAAAGGAGAGGTGACTTACAGAAGTGAGGAAGAGCCATTGAAAAGATATTAAGTGATGAAAAAATTATTTCCCCTGAGGGCGGCCAAAAAGTTTTTAAAAAACACTTCCTGGGCATGGTTGTGGTTCTGTTTGAATTGATGGGTTTATTCCCCTTAGGTGGAAATGCCTGTGAAGTGGCCAAAAGGAAACTGAGACCCAGTGTTAAGAATGAGCCCCGGTAAACCTGGAGGGGGTGGAGGGGCAGAAGAAGAGAAAAGGCTTTCACATGGGGAATTTTTGGCACTAGTCAGATTAATTAAATGCTATTAAACTGATTGAACTTTAAAAGAGAAGTAGTTAAAGGAGCTGGATTAAAAGAAAATTCCCTCAAGCCTCAAAAATAAACACAGATAGGGGGTGGTATCATAACATAAAATATCAAAGTGGGGTCCTGAGTGTTTTTTAAGTGTTTAAACAAGGATAACAAGGACTTTCCTCAGGTAAGATGAGTGCTACCTTTCACATAGGTTGGGAAGGTAAATTTCTATAAAGAGATGATGTAAAAGTATACTTTTTTAGAAGAACTCAGAGGCGATCATTGGCAGCAGCATAAATTTCTTAAAAACTAACAAAAAAGGCCTTTTCTTGACCCCTCTTCATCTTCATATTCCAATGTATCATTCCTTTTCTCCCTCTTACAATGAAATTTCTTGAGTGTTGTCTTAACGGAGAATTCTCGATTTTTGCTCTTCCACACTCAAGCCCACACCTGCAGGCAGGTTTCCCTCTATGTCCACTGTACTCAAACTGACCTCATCAATATCATCAATGATCATTTCCCAGTCACCATCTTACTTGGTTAATCAGCAGCTTTTAGGCTCTCTAACCACCTGCTCCTTCTGGACTCACTTCCATTCCTTGGTTTCATGACCCCGCACTTGCCTCGTTTTTCTGACTGCTGTGTCTCCATATCTTTGCTGCTTCTTCCTCATCTCCCTAACCTGTACATGCGGAAGGATTCCCAGGGCTCAAGCCATGTCTCTGTCTCTCTCTCTGTCTGTCTGTCTCTCGCCACCACTTTTCCCTGTTTCATCTATATTCACTGCTTAGCTGATCACATCCAGTCTCATGCATTTAAATACTATTTATAAGCTAGTGGTATTATTCCAAATTATATCAGTATACTTCTCCACTGAATTCCAAACTAATCTAGCCATCTACCCACTTTAAATCTTTACTTAACAAGTCCAAAACTGAGTTCCAATATTCTCAGTCCTACCCCTACTCCCTACTCCCTAACCAGCCCAGGCAGTCCTCCTCCCATCAGTGAATGGTGTAACCCTGTTTCTTCCAGTTCAGGGGTCACCAAATCTGAACCATTGCTTGCTTATATATTATCTATGCTGTTTCTGTGTTATAGTGGCAGCATAAACCACAAGGCCTACAAAGCTAAACATATTTATCATCCAGTCCTTTACAGAAAAAGTTTACCTACTGCTGTTGTAGTTGCTCAGGCCAAAGAAATCCATAGTTGTCTTTACTCTTTGTTTGCTTAATAATCTTTATAGGCTCTGTCAGCACATCTTATTGATCTTACCATCAAGATCCTGTCTATCCAGATTATACCCACGGATCATCACCATTATTGGCACTACCTTGAGTGAAGCCACCATCATTTTGTTATCTGAATTATTGAAAAAGACTCCTAGCTCAGAGAATGTTTCATACACATAAAGCCTTAATATATAAATTAATGAAGGCATGGATAAAATAAAAATATTCAGAATTTGAGGTAAGACTAATTAAACAGGATTGGTGATTAGGAAATAAAGGAAAGAATTTTTCAGTGCTTTAATTTATGCGTGGCTCAGTCTATACTTCAGTCAAGTGCTTTGAAAATGCCAAAGTGTTATTTAAATGTAATCAACTTCAATGATTGGTTTCAGGGTTGTTCTGGTAATGAAAATGAATAAAGAAATATTGGGTATAAGATGAAAAAGTACAACTGTTGCTTGACATCTGGACAACTATTTGAAAGAGAGAGAGAGACTTGGAAATGAGTGAATTTTCCTATACCCAAAGATGCTATTCTTTTTAACTGATTGCTGACATAGAGAGAGGGCATGTCTGTAAATGTTGCAGCTTTCCAGGATAATGTAGAAATCCTGATGTGTATGTGAAATGTACCCACCTCTGTGCTGCACTTAGTCACTAAGTTGTGTCCAACTCTGGGATCCCATGGACTGTTGCCCAACAGGCTCCTCTATCCATGGGGATTTTCCAGGCAAGAATAATGGAGTGGGTTGCCATGCCCTCCTCCAGGTGATCTCCCTAACCCAGGGATTGAAACTGTGTCTCTTACATCTCCNATCCTGAGAAATAAAAATAAAGCTGGAGGCCTCACAGTTCCTGATTTCAAAACACATTACAGAGCTACAATGCTGTAAATAGTATGTGCTCAGTTGTCCATTTGTGTCTAACTCTTTGCAACCCCATGGACTGTAGCCTGCCAGGCTCCTCTGTCCGTGGAATTCTCCAGGCAAGAATACTAGAGTGGGTTGCCATTCCTTATTCCAGGGGATCTTCCCAACCCAGAGATTGAATCTGCATCTCCTGCGTCTCGTGCATTGGCAGACAGATTCTTTACCACTAACCCACCTGGAAAGCCCTACCAAACAAATAAGTGAAAAATCATAAATTACAATACATTATATAAATTAATTAGTATGTAATATAATACATTACCCATTATGCATATACAATGTATGTTATAAAGCCACTTCCAAAAAATGTGCTACTTAGAGGTCTGCTTCTTTAGAAGCATCCTTAGTCAAGCATGTATATTCCCAGTTAAGTGTCATTCCACACTGCAGACTTGTAGCTCACCCACAATGACCATAGGATGTCTTATGAAAATGAGTACTGAGTGACTATTCAAGTGAAATTTTGTGATAATATAGAAATTATCACTGGAATAATTCTTTCAGTTTAACATGTTCATTCTTCCAGTATATAGTCTCTTGATAAATAAATGGATATTTGAGCCACAAAATCTTTTTCTCAGCTCTGTTTTATGTCCTAAATCATGATCTCAGATATATATTCACCTGGGAAATCATTCCAGGGTCTCCAATGAAAACTTTTTGAGAAAGCAGATGCCCAGCCCAATCCTGGACCCAGTGAATCAACATTTCTGAGTTGGAGACCTTGAATGTTTGCTTACAAAGTTGTCTGTGTTCTTCCAATTAGAAATAATAGTTTAAAGCTTATTCAGTGGAGTGTCATTCTGATTGCAGAGGACTTTGGGCCTCCCCTCTTCTATCCCACTTCTACTCACCACACCCTGCTCCCGCACCCCCATACTCACACTACAGAAGAGGTTTGAGAAAAAGGGGGCATTTCTAGAAGTTGGTTTTCACTTAAAAGGACTTAGAACAGTGTCATTCCTCTCTTTGCAACCCCATGGACTATACAGTCCATGGAATTCTCCAGGCCAGAATACTAAAGTGGATAGCCTTTCCCTTCTCCGGGGGATCTTCCCAACACAGGGATTGAACCCAGGTCTCCCACATTGCAGGTGGATTCTTTACCAACTGGGCTATGAGGGAGGCCCTCCTTCCTCTCAGCTCTTGTACATTATTGATCCAAGATTTGATAAAAAATAAACATAGCCTTTCATCAGGAAAATGACTGGTTGTCGCTGATACTGACTGCTAAGCTCTGTGAGGTGGTTCGCTCTGTACCTTCATGAAAGGCAGAATTACGAATGAGAGAGGTAATGAAACCATCCTGTTTGCTGCTATGCAAATAAGACAACATCATTCATTCTGAGCGTGACCGTTCCAGGAGGAGGGAACACATAGTCCGTGGTGACACAGATATGAACAGAGAGAACAGATGAGGCTCATGGGGCTTATTCAGAAATCAAAGGGAACTCTAAGTGCCTTTATTAAATAATATATCAGAAGTGACACACACATAACATTCTGAGAATCCAAAATCTTAGAGAAACAACAGATAAAAAATTTTAAAAGTAAGGTGATCCTTTTTCGTGATAATAATGTTGACTCTGTATTTAAAATACACATTTGATCTACAAGCAGCTTGGTTCGTGTGAATATGAGATGATTCAGCAGGAGCATGTTCTACCTCATCTGCCAGCCTAATGTAAAAGGATGCAGCCACAGAAGTAGCATGAATGAAGACTAACTTGTCATCGCTCCTCTGTGCAGGTCGGGTCATGTCACTTCTATGCACATCACTGCCAGAAGGGCACACAACATTGTAAAGCAACTATACTCCAAAAAAAACTAACTTAAAAATAAGTAAACAAAAAGAAAGTCAACCGTCATGAAAAAGGCCATCTATTTATTTAGACATGTTTATTATGCAAATAGATACATCTCTTACAGAAAAAATAGAGAACACACATGTTGGAACCCAACCAAGGACAACAGCCTAGTAAAAGGCATTCCTTGCTCAGAGCCAAGCTGCTTGCAGACCCCAAGATGATCTAACTGGCAGCATTCCTGTGTGTATGTGTAACATAAGGGGTGGGGGGGAGCGGGGGAGACTTGATTTTCCATCTCCTTAATGGTACAACTTTTTACCTTTTCCAGGATTTTCAGTAGGCAAATATCTTTATGCCACTTTCCCTATGCTGGCCATACTCTGCGTGAAAGAGGTAGTATGTATAGGTATTTAGCACAAAAAGGCTGGAGGGTTAGAAAGAGCTGGGTGATTGGGGGTCAAGGTCTAATGCATGAATGCTCATAGCCTTCAAAGACTTGAAACACTATCATAATACAGAGTTTTCCTATGTGGCTGCCAAGGTTAGAAAGAGTACAGGAAGCAAGATTTGAATACACATGAAGAAATACTTTCTAATATTCAGTGATGTCCTCAGATAAAATGCATGTGGAGACATTCCCGAGCCAGTGGGCTCAAGAGCAGGAGATGAACACATGGAGGGGAGTGTGTACTGTAGAGTCTCTTAAAGCATGGGCTTTGCTGTCAGACAGAACTGCGCTCTCATCATTTTGATTTACTTGCTCTGTGACCTTGGGGAAGCTACTTATGCTCTCCAAACTTCAAATTTCCTGTCTCTAAATAAAGAAAATTGTTCCCATTTCACAAGACTGCTGTGAAGGTTAGGCGAGATAGTGACTAAAAAGAATTTAGCACAGTTTTAGCAGGGCAGGTTGTACAGAACGGTAAATATTATTATCGGAAGATCAGACACTGGAAGAGCTGTGGTCTGTGAGCTAGAAAGCTGCCTAAAATGGGAGACAATGTGAGGTGCATTTTCAATCACAATATCTGGCAGCCTAAAGTTTAAGAGCCATCAAACTTTAAGTTTAGCAAGCAATCAGATAAGGTGAAAACAGATAAACCCTGAAGCAACTAACTAATCAGAAACAGAATTGTGTATAGATAATAAGGACCTTGCCTCCAGGAAAATAACATCAAACAGTGGAAGATAAAAATTAGAGAATATTTCAGAGTTTTAAAATGTAATAACTCCCTTCCTTAAATCCCTCTTCAACATATGATTTATCTTTAAATTTTAAGACCACTTACTGATGGATTCTAGCAATAGTCCTCCTTTTGCAGGAAGTTAATACCTACCAGCTATCATTTAATATTGTACTTATATGCCAGGAAGACATTTTCATGTGTGGTTAATTTTTTTTAACAACTCAGTGTTACAATCATCTAAAACCTGACTTCTTCATTGTTAAACTATCTTATGATACTCATGTAAACCCTGTATCTTGCTATTGTCCACTTAGTCAGAAGAATTCAAATGCCTTTCCGCCTACCTACTGCTTGCTGAAAACATGCTCTCCCTGGAATGCAGAGGCAGATTGGGCAGAACGCTCATATTTAATGAAATTATGAAATGTGAATTTGATGCACTTTGTAGGGTAAAAAAAAAGATTGTGCCCTTAAGCAACATTTCTGGACTGTTTCAGTTGGGAGTATGTGATGTGAAATTTTAAGAGTCATGAAAAGTCTAGTCTAAACACACAACTTTGGGGGCATTCTTCCATATTTGTGTCAAAAAATATGCTTTTGGATGCTAAAATCTATCTGATTTTAGACACTATGGGTAACATGGACGGGAAACATTCAAATCATATCCCTCCAAACCTCAGACCATGATGTATTTTATGCCAAACATTTCTCTTGACCACTTTTAACTGTTAGTCTTTATCTTCCCTGACTTCCTCCTACACCATTCTTTAGAAATTCTCATAGATAATTAAACATCTCAAGTCCATAACTATTTAATGGTCATTGACGAACTATTAAGTCATTTTTAGATACATGAAATTCAGCACACCAGACTAGCCAGACTAGTCAACTTCTATTTTTCTGAAGTCCTTTGATTAATTTTCCTCCCAAACCTTATGCTGAGTAGGTCAGAAAGACTAGAGGGACCTGGCGCTATCCAGCCCTCTGAAACAGATTTGGATTCATGTTAATTTAAGTCTCAGCACTAATTCTAAAAACTAAAATAAATAAATAAATAAAGATACATGAAACTTTCTTGCAAAAATTCTTGAGTAGATTCCCAGACATAAAATCATCCATCCATGCTGTCTCCATGACACTACCCTACCCCCATTATGTAAAGTGGTCCATTCTGATTACCAAAGCATAATTCCCATCCCAAATTCTTTGTATTGAAAGAATGTTCCCTCCCACACACTAGCTACTATTTTCAACCTCTCTAGATGTGCACCCTGGATGACAAACCTTCAACTACCTAATGACTACCAGAAACCTGCACTTTATTTTGTTTTCTCTAACTCAGGGAAATTTAATTGTCTTAGTCAAAAACAGAGGCATCCTCTGTGGCTGCCCCGCAATATAAATCCTCATGCCACTTCTTCATATAAATCCCTCACTCCTACTG